AGTACAAAATATATGAACTTCATATATTTCATTGTATCTCAACCATACCTAGATTCAACACTAGATTGTTAAAGGACTCTTTAGCATATAGAGGTTCGGTGCTATGGAACTATGTTAACCATCATGTCAAAAATGTAGGTAGTTTCGCCCTTAAGAATCTTAGAAGGCCACTCAGGAGAAATAATCACTTCACAAGCTTTACTTTCACTAGTTTATCAGGTTCGACGGCAAGGACTAGATTAACTGATTACAAGTATTTTTAAGTTGAGAGGAAAATTGAATGTTTTACTGTATTATAGTTTCTATTTACTTTGAAATGTGTCTTAGTATAATCAATAGTTGGCTAGATACTACTTTGTTAAGTACACGACCCCACAAGCTTTTTAGCTTTAATTCTTATCGTGTTTAAGTAAAGATTCTATTCTACTCTATTATATTCTATTCTCTTCTACTTAACATGGAAAAGTCATATTAATGAGCTTTGTTTGAAACTATCCAAAACTGTAGGTATCTTGTCTAAAGTGAGACACTTTGTCAACAAAGATATTCTTGTCATGCTTTTATTACTCCCTTATGGCGTTCATGTCTGGGGTTTAACCTCTCCCTCATTTCTAACACAACTATTTATTATCCAAAAAAAAAGCAATCAGAATAATATCTTTCTCTGAACCAGAATCCCATTCTGAGCCTCTGTTTAAATCCCTCAACCTTCTTAAGTTCAATGATGTTATTGAATCACAGATCCTCTCTTTTGTTTATCAGTGGTCACATAGACTGTTACCACCTTGTTTCAAGAAATATTTCAAATTTACATCTTCTGTTCATTCTTACTCAATGGGTCAATCTTGTAACAGAAATCTTTATGTAGCCTCAGTTAATACTACTCAATATGGCCTACGGTCCCTAAAATTCACTGGCCCTCGCCTTTGGAATTCCTTACCTACAAGTATAACTAACTCAAATTCTCTTAGAATATTTTGCAAAACAATGAAGAACTCTATACTTAATTGTTACTCTTTTTAATTATCTACTTTAGTGCATGAAGTAATACTTTTTATTAAAAAATCAGTCAATCAATCAATTATTCTTAATTTTCCCTTAATAATTAATTAACTATATCTTATAATTAGGGGTCATCCACTAGATTAGCCTTTGCTATTTGGATGATCCTAACTAGTTACCTACTCTATTGCTAAATTTTTTCTCCTTATTCCTTTCCTGTTCTGTGTTTAGTTGCTATGTAAAGTTAACCTATATATCTTGTAAAACTGAGCTGAGTTAAATAAAATCATCCTCATCCTGAAAGATGAAATAGCTCTATTCCAGGGATAAAATTTCTGGGAATAAGGCACATCTATCCATGGAATAGAGTTGTTACACCTTTCAGGAACTGGCCACAGAGAATTATTTGAAGTAATACCACAATAGCTTTGCTGGGTTATTACTATGTTCTGCAGATGCCTTAGTTACATTGGCGCAGATTATAGTCAAAGCATTTTCAAATAATTGGCAATGGCAAGGTAATATCCTATTCTATGATTGCCATCATCTGCTAATGGATCAGGTACTAGGCTGTGAATGTCATCTGCTTTATTGTTAGTCAGCTGAATGGTGCTTTCAGGCACAGAAACCATGTTTTCTTTCTCTATACCTGCCACGGGACCATTGGGATCAATGCCATGTAGAGAAATGTCACCTATCTCTATGTTGTCCACCCCAGAGGAGACAAGCTCAGAATACCAAAGTGCCAGGGGAGACATGCTTGCCATGGTACGCAGACTATAATGATTCCACTGGGATATGAACTCGTCCAAAGATGCCTGAATGGCTGGCACATAAACATAGTGAAGGGCTAATAAATCACATTCATTGTGTGNCACAGCATCAAGAATGCCACTATTTTCCATAAAGTTGAACAGATCAATGTAAAGTGACGAAACAATCCTGTTCACCTCTGCCCAAAGCCGTGCAAAACAATCCTCCAGTGAATTAGCTTGTGATTTGAGTCAATATGCCACAAACGATTTGGCTTTTTAACGTTATAGAGAAGTCTTTGAATTGAATATCTGCGCCTAATGGCACGGTTTACAGGATCAATTCTTTGTAGGGCTTCCCCGATTTTCCACCTCTGAACAAAAATGCCTCGTGCTCTTAAAGCTCCTCGTACGTACGTTTCACCAGAGAATGATGTTAATCGTAAAATATCTCTTACATTCCTATCTAGGCCCTCTGCATCAATATCGTTGTAATCAACTATACCTAATTCTGTTGTTCTTCTAGACAGAGTTCTGGTACTTATACCAAGACACTTTGCGATAGCTGTCCACTGCATACCAGTGCTGCGAAGTACTTCAATTTTCTCGGGTGCTGTTACGTTTTATCTTGGTCTCCCTAATGAACATCTTTCTCAGAACTTAGGAACATTACGAAACTCGGTACTATCTTCGATATAACGAGCAATTTTTTCTTTGCTATGGTAAAGTAACTCCCGCAGGTATTGCAAAAGATCCTCAATCAGCACCTTTATCTCCAGAAAGCCTTAGACATTTGTGAGAACCAAAGAAAACGACCCAATAATCTGAACAAAGCCTTCTAACCGATCGTGTAAATATTCCATATTTCCATAGTTGACTGGAGCTGTATCTTGTTCCATACGCAAATACAATATTTTATCGACAAAAGAAACCTCTCCAGGTCCTCTATATTACCTTCAGTGACTTGAAGAACAACTACGGCGTATAAAAAGGCCACAAGCACACAATGACACTTCCAGGCTGCCATGTTGCTTGACAATATGGCGTTCCATTTCCACTGAGTCCACTCAACTAGGAATTCTCTCGTCCCTATCGTCCACCTTTTGAGCAGGAGTGGCTCGGGGTGATTGCGCCCACGATCTCCTTCAATCACTGACCAGCGGGTAAAAGTCCAATTTGAAAAGTTGAATATCGAACGCGAAAACTTGCAAGTACAATGCCCAAAGTCGGAGGTCGGAAGCCAAAACTTAAAGGACAAATGCTAAATGCGAAAACATAAAATTGGATTCCACTGAACTTGAGGGTCGAATTCGAAAACCACACTGTTGCCTCTAAAAAGTTGAATGTCGAAAGCGATAACTTAAATGTTTCATAAACAAAAGTTTATTGTTGAATGCAAAAAAGTTGAATCGCCAGTGCAAACTCGAAAGACAAACGCAAAATGTAAAAAATATTGTGGAAAGTACGATGTAAAATAGAACATTGAATTTTGGCGGAGATGGAACGCCATATGACAAAACAGAGGGAAAGGGTAGCAAGGCACGCTGGGTATTCTCGACTCGGGGAGAAAAATATTCTCGACTCGAAGAAAAAATTCTCGACTCGGGAAAAATCTCGACTCCAAGCAAAAATTCTCGAGTCAGGAAAAATTCTGGAGTCGAAGAAAAAAATTCTCGACTGGAAGAGAAATTTCTGGACTCGAAGAGAAAATTCTCGACTCGAAGAGAAAATTCTCGACTCGAAGAAAAAATTCTCCACTCGAGGAAAAACTTGTCGACTCGGAGAGAAAATTCTCCACTCGGAGAAAAGTTTCTCCATCACCTCTGTCCATTATGGCTTTCCATAGGTATTGCTGACAGTCTTTAGGTGTTTAGAAATGACTTTACGGCACGACATTAGCTGAAATAGTATTGCTGAAGTATCAAAAGAATCATCTTTTCCCCGACTTAGTTGTTTTAATCTGTGAACAGTTTCCAGCTCAACCAATTTCCGTGAGTTTTGTAACTAGAACTCTCAATTTGGGAAGAACGTTCTTAACTCAGCTAAGATTCTTTGTTTGTAGTGATTTCAAATGGTACATCATTTATCATACATTTATCCTCAGGTCTAGTTCACCCTATCTATTTCATTCTGTTTCCAGCTCCATACTTGGTATTCTTCTCCTATTTCAAATAGTAGTTTTCATAGACACAACTAGTAACCACGTTGTCTTACATATATAGCTTTTATTGAGAACATCATATCGAGATTAGCGTTCTCCTAAACGTTCGGGATACTATGTTTCAATAGCTTTGGTGAAATATCCTCTCGTTTTCTCTTGATTTTACATGAAGTTGCGATAATAGTGGAAGTACGCCTAGAGAGAATTGACCCATTGTCTCAGTCAAGTCAACTCTTACAAGCTCCCAAAGGACATTATTTGAAACTAAATTTCACCATGGAGACTTCATTTCCAATATCCTGTATTTATGATATGTACCTTGAGGTTCGTAATGGATACAACAAGTCTGCCAATCTTCTTGGAAGATTTTGTGGAGAGAAAATTTCTGGCATTGTACGATCCAGTGGACAGAACTTATGGTTAAGATTCTCATATAGTGATTCCCTTCTCCGGATCACTGGTTATTACAGGATGACTTATTCCCTCAGCAATAAAACAGATAACACAACCGGTAACTATTGTTTCAATGAAATTACTCATCATATGAAGTGAATACAAGGGATAAATAGCAGATAAGTACACTACAAAAACTTCAACTGCTTAGGCAATCTTTTTTTTTTCTCTATCAGTGGAACCTAACCTGAATAATGTGGCCAAGAGTCAGTCTGTACTTTTTGACCATATTTCATCCCTATGGTGTCCAGCGCAAGGTGCACCGGCACCTTTCATTGTTTGGAGAAGGAACAGCACAGTGGTAGAGAACAGCACAAGTGTAATGTATCAGCTGAACATTACTGATGAAAATAACGACAACTACAGTTGTGAGGTGAAGAAACGAGATGGTTTTGACAAGAAAGAAATCCGCTTAGCCATTGAAAGTGAGTTTTAGTTACAAAAATATGATTCCTTTTCTCAATCACACTGAGAGAGAAATATACTGCACGTTCGAAAATTTTCCATTCCTCGCTTGTAAAATGAACAAATCCGTAAAAGTTTCATCCCATCTTTGCAACTGAAAGACTGACTCGATAGATTTACAATCCCAACAACACAATTTCTTTCCTGACAATGGAACAGTATTGAGTGTTCATGAGATAACCTGAGGTTACTTTTTAGAGTACTCAGATACATTCCTTCCGCAAGTACAACCAAAGAGTCCCACCAGCTTGAAACAAACAATAGGTTGATACGAACGCCTTTTTTTTCATTAACTAGGGCGCCCAGATCCCTGCCGATGTACCATCGCAGTTGGAGTTATGTACACAGTAACTCGCATTGAATGTAACGGAAAACATTTACAGTCAGTTCCACGGCACTTGCCCTTTTCTACAGCGAAATTGTAAGCATTTCTACTCTTCTTTTTTGTAATGCGCAGAGGGCGGAAAGGGTTTGCGCGTGTGTATGTGTGTGTGTGTGTGTGTGTGTGTG